TAGTAAAAGGAGATATATAAAGCGCAGTATATCATCATTGGAACTGATAGCCCTAGTAACTGCCACATACCTGCCACATGCACCTGTTAGTAACACAAGAATCAAGTTCAACGAAAATAGTCGACATGGGAATATTGTAAGATGAAAATCGGACCAAGCACCAATTAAGTCGATGTGTGACACCCAAGTACTTACCCTTGTATGACAGCAAGACCGCAGGGTTCCTGAAATCCTGAAATTGAACAAAGTTAGACAAAGTTAGACAAAGTGTAACAGACCGAAACAACACACCGATGGACACTGTAACGGTAACAGCTGTGATCCGAATAATAGTGAGGGTATACATATATAGGTACACAAGTACATCTAGTTGTTTGCTCTTGAAAACCAGCGAAGATAGAAAGATATAACAAGACAATATCCTATTATAATGATAATTTGATGACTTTGATGCTTTCCTCCATCTAAATCATGGCATCAGCAATGTGCTGGTCATTACCAAATCGCTCTCGAACTGGGACAACCATCCAATTAGAATCCGAGGAAACAGCCGCCATCATCGCAGTCACGCAAGGTTTCCTCGCAGCACTGAGCACCAAGTCGCGTGCCGATTTCGAGAAACACTGTGTCCGAGCAGGAGGAATGACACTCTCGCCTCCATCTCCAACTTCCCTGCGCTTCTGTACGATTGGTTCATTCGTTGAACATGTCGCTGGGCTCAAAGACGACATCGATGAGCGCATCTGGGATCCTGAGGTGAAGGTGCACGAAACAGGAAGTTTGAACTTGGCCGCTGTGTGGGCGCCATTCCGGGCGAAGATCAATGGGGTTGTGGACCATGTTGGTGTTGAACTTTTTGTTTTGCATAAACTCAACGGCGAATGGAAGGTGACTGGGCTGGCGGACTCGTGTCGATTGCCGACTGAGGAGGAAATGCTGCTGGAATGAGTACTTTGGTTGGAGACATTGGGGAAATGAGAAAATTAAGATTCATCAGATGCCGTGACAAGGAGGGCTGCCTCACAATTGTCATGAGTATTTGCAAATTGTTTGAAGTTTCCGCTATACATGCTCACACTCTGGATATCTAGTTCTGTGTGGGTGTGTAGATGCCTCTTATTTAGATCTTTTTGCCCCGGAGAAGTTCCCATCCGACTGATCCCTTTTTGCCTTCTTTGACAGTCATCTCCTCAACAGCCTTCACTAGATCGTATGTGATCTCCTCAGATACGACACTGTCCTGCTTGTAGCTAGGATGCTTGGCTACAAACTCACGCATCCAACGAGCCCCGGTCCAAAGAGTTCCATCGGCTCGCTTCCGGATTAGATCAAGATAGCTGGCCAGGAAACATCTCGTCTCAACGTCAACATTGACGCTGTTAAGGTAAGACTCCACAAGCGGGATGAGACCCGGGAATGATCCGTCTGCGCATCCATTCACAATGTCGTCGATGGTCATAAGATCAAACTCTGTCTCAACAGGACCAAGAGGAGGCGATGGAGGCGGAGTATTCACAGCCGACGATGTCGTAGATGAGAAGGTGCTGCCGTTGGTTGATTGCTGTGCGCTTTTGGGTACCCTGCGAGGGAAGGGGTCCTTGCGGAACCAGAACTTCCGATCAAGAACAGCGTTGCGAGCGTGTGCCGTCTCCATATTCTCAGTAGTACGCTGGATCGGGATGTAGAAGTTGAGATCGAAGCTCAGGATGGCACGAGTAATGAGGACGATGAAAATGCTAAATGCGGCGTTCTCGAAATCTGTGATTTGAATCTCCATAGACCGGAACTCAACTCTCCAGCCAATATCATCTTTATCAGGTGGCGGCGGCTTAAATCGCATGTGCTGCCAATTAGTGGACTGTAAATTCTCAAAGTGGTCACTCTTGTTAAGATCCAGTTCTTCGAGATCCTCAGAGAAAATGACCAGGGGATCACGGATAAACAAGTGTGCAAAATGCGTCGCCAGTAGATCATCCATTCCCCCGTCCATGAGGCGTTTCTTAATATCCTCATCAACGACTAGATCAGGATCGAAGTATTCTTTCCGGAGACGAGGATCCTGAGAGATATAAGTCGAATTAGAGGCATATCGCGACTTGGGAATTCTCCACCGGTCGTTCTTAAGAGGCTGCGAGAGGTTAGTTTGGTGGGTTTGGTGGGCCAAAGGTATCATCCCGGAAAACTTACAGCTTCACCAAGTTCCTCGGGTGTCCTGTCATCGACTGCATTGCCAATTTGGTTCCATCGCACATCTGTGTCCACTAGGAAACCTTTATAGATGGGTGTAGCGGCGGTCAGGGCCAAAAGAATGGGCCCCAAAGGACTCAGCTGATCATAAAGTCTTCTGCCCTCTGTCATATTCTTTGCTTGGAAGGTGATCTGCAAGCAACAGCTGCCCATTCCGAATGCCATGGCGTCCATGTAAACATGATCGTCCTTGGCTGCGCCGTTGCGGACGTCGTCGTCCTCGGGCCAATTATGAAGGTCGTAGTTAACTGTTGGATCCTTAAATGGCTTAGACGTATTTGTATCGTGGAAAACAGGTACATTCAGTTCGACCTTGCGACCTCTTCGGGATCGAATGTTGGCAGCCAGAGTAGGGAATCGGATATGGGGGTTGGCAATCTCATCCGGGACAAACTGCGAGCGGAGAGCTGGTCCAGACGGAGGATAATATGGCTGGATGTAGTCATCATTGGTTCCCAGCCGAGGGAAGGTTGTTAGGGTAATGGGGACTTCATTCGGAGCCATGTGTGCTTTTGCAACTTCTCGTCTTGGAGCCTATTAGCATGTTTCAAGTAAAGTTGTGTTGCTGAAAGAGCTTACCTCCACTTCATATTGGACTCCACCTTGAGTAGGTCTTTAAACCCGATTCCCCAAGGCTGTCCAGGAGTGGCCTCCAACATGAACCTTCCAAATTCGGGGTGGAAATGAGGCGGCTCCTCCCCATCACTGGGTGGTGTCAGATATACTAGTTCCTGCTGGACATCAAATCACACTCACTGGTCCCCAGTTTCGCTGCCCTTGCCGGAACCAGACTTCCATAGCTCCTCGTCCCTTGCAAGTGATTTCAAAATCTCAGCCTGGGCTAGAGATAACCGTGCTTTCTTCACCGGGTCGTCGAGAGCTACCACAAGATACTCAACCTATCATCGAGGGGAACTGATCAGCGAATTGCGACCGGGAAACACTATGCGGGCCAGAACAACATACCTCATCGCCCCAAAGAAGAGCATCACGTTCTTTGCCTCGTGCCCTGCGCCAATTGGCAAGTAATTGCTAATCAAGTCAGACATCTCGAGGTTGTTTCGGTTGCCGATCTAGACGGATCGAACACAAGCGGCGTACCTCGATACCCCACTGGCGCACCTGGCCCGCCCTTTTCTTGGCTTCCGGCCATTCCAGCGCTGTTCCAAGTGCTCTGCTTGGGATTAGAGGGATTCCAAATAGTAGATCAAGCCTCTCAAAACACATACAGAAGTCCCATCGCGTCGGAGACGTCTCAGGCTAGCAAAACTCAAAATGCCTCGGCACAAGTATAAAATAGAAGAGAGAAGACGAATCCCAGAGTGACTAGGAAAGCCAAAGGTCGAATAAAGAGTATTCAAAGAGACATAGACCTGCGCATAGTCCCCTTTCTAATTGATTCTCTGTAATTCCTGGGTAAATCGCAATGAGGGGGGTCGATTTTTCGGAGGCCGACCGATTTTCTGGCGGGGGCGGCGATAACGGCGGGAGTTTTATTTCCCTGCCTTACGAAACCTTCGTATTATTAATCATGATTTGTCACAATTCCGAGGATATCGAGAGACTTCCAAGGTTTAATCCCATAATGCCTTTTTATATAGGTCTTCATTTGACCTCAATTTGGGAAATGTTTGAACATGGAGTGTCCTGGTATAGAAAAACAGCTTGAGGTGGTGATATAGAGGTGGTGCAATGAGACCCTGCACTTGCGTCTTCAAAGATCGCCATAGGAACGTCTATCATAGGTCCGAGCGTTGTATACATATAGGTATAAAGGGAAAATAAAGTCACAGATATCATAGTCAGTAGCTAATGTCAAAATGAACTAGAATGGTGTTCAATTCTCTACACACCAGGTTAAACTATGGAGATGGTACCTACAGGATAGGTTGGAAGAAAGTGCCTAGATATAAGAAGAACTGATTGATATGGCAGCATGAAATCTGCATGAAAGTAACCATCACATCTGCAGGTATCACGTTATATGCAATGTTATATGGCATATTCACATCACCCAAGGAGAAAATGCCCGGGTAACTCTTCATCAAAAGCGATATGCGGAGGACTAGTTTTGTGGCTTGTTCAACCCATCCATGTGTTTAATTATCATACAATCATGTCTACTATAACTAGCGTAAATAGCATACATACCACCAATCGGCAGCAATGTAGCCAATAGAACTTGCCGCTTAAGCTTATAAAGTCACAAACGATCATTGAATCAGGTGGTGTTTGATTTGGCAACATGCTTTGGTCATAGGTCAAGGGGTTTGTCTACATAGGTAGGCACAGAGGGAGATATGAAATAAGCGGCCCGAATGAGCTTCGCGAGTTTTACATTGGTAGGCTATAACAATGCATGATTGCGTAGACAACAGCGGTGCAGTCTAAGTCCACTAAAATAACTATATAACTAACTAATTATAACTAATCCTAGTGTCTTTTGCCACCAAGGAGCCCCGGGAAATTCATTAACCAAACCCCTGGGGTAGTATAGGACCTATGCCAAATGACAAGCTGTTCATGGACATATGCTTGATCCGAGAAGCTCTGAGAAACATGCTAGGTAACAATCTAGCCAATGTCAAACAGAGCATCAAGTTGCCAACGCAATTGTTGTCCAGATTGGTGAAGAAAATAAAGTGGCCGATTTTGATGAAAGGTCCCAACGCCAAAAGGCAATCCATAAGCAATTTCGGTGTATCTCTTATTTACATTTCCTGCTATTTTAGCAGCAGCAGCAGCACCGGCCGCGCATACCGACGGTCCCATAATTCAGTTGCTCCGGGCGCCGTCCTTGGCGGCACGCAGCTCATCCATCTTGGCCACACGCTTCTTAAACTCTTCGTACTGGCACTTCTCGTATGAGTGTCGTTCATCCTAAAGGAAAATAAGAGAACTATATTAGTTGACTAGCTCTGGAAAGCGCTCTGGTTGAGTCGGGTGCGGTTGGAGCATCAAAATGAGGGATCTCGTACCTCGCACTTCCAGGGAAGGTAGTACTCTGCTTGCCGGCATCGGTTCAACGGGATCAGAAGGTGTGCACATGAATCTCTGTATTGCATGGGAAGACGCGCCTCCGACATTTCCTGGCGGGTTGCTAGAATCTGGTCAACTTTCCTGCTAGGGCTTTTGATTGCTGATCAATGGCCTTAGAATCTTACCGGAGGTCTCCGAAAGGCCAACGGCACTTTTAACTGATTCGATGACAGTCATTTTGTCAAAGATTGAGGCGTGGAAAGACAAGGAGCGGGGAAACAAAAGCAGCACAGCGTAGTTGGCGATTCCCGCTCGGTTGAGGTTCCTGCTGGCCCGATATTGGTCACGTGACACACAATCACATGACTTATGTTCCGAAATGGGCCTAGCGCGCACTTTACGCGTCCAGCGCGTATATGGGATGCCACCCCAAGCTCCACCGAATCGTATCTCTGTGTTCTCGGTCCGGATTTTTATTGCATGCAATGCATCGAGTCTCGCAAAATTCTTAAACCGATCAACTTGTGGATCTTCTAGGGGTGACGTTTCGGCTTCAACGTGCGATATCGCTCTTCGGGAACCTACTGAATTGCAGCGGCCAACGGCGACGCACATTATGGCGGGGATGGACACCATCTACTCTGCTACCTACAGCAGTGTAAGTATACTTCTAATTGGACACTTCCACCTTCTCGGATGGGATTGTTTTCCATGTACTGCGAGCGCAGCTGACATTCTCACTCCCAGGTCCCCGTGTACGAGTTCAAGCTCGACACTGACAGTGTCATGAGAAGGCGAGGGGATGATTGGGTCAATGCAACACACATTCTCAAAGCTGCAGGGTTTGATAAGCCTGCACGAACGCGCATCCTCGAACGTGAGGTCCAGAAGGGGGTACATGAGAAAGTCCAGGGAGGCTATGGCAAATACCAGGGTATGTCTTGGGATCTATGAGGCCCGAAGAGAAACTTCAGGTTACTAACTGGTAATGCTCGCAGGAACATGGATCCCACTCCCAGAAGGTCGACAGCTTGCGGAGCGCAACAACATCCTTACAAAACTAGCCCCGATTTTCGACTATGTTGCTGGAGACCACAGTCCCCCACCAGCGCCGAAGCACACATCAGCTCCATCCAAGCCTAGGGCACCGAGGAAATCGGCCGCCGCAAATCGTGCTGCCGCTGCCGCCGCGGCTGCCGCAGCAGTAGCAGCTTCAGAGAGCCTGAAAGTTGCTCAACCCCAGCGCAGCATGGGCCCCCCAACCATTCCACAAGATCACTATGAAATGAATGCAGGGTTCGACGATAACGAGTCAATCGGGCACGCCACAATTGAATCATCATCGATGGTCGCAGACGAGGATATGCTTCAAATGTCACATGGTGGACGGAAGCGGAAACGTGGAGCGGATGAGGCAAACGCTATGTCCATCAGCGAGCAAGAACACATAATCTATGGCGATCAACTTCTGGACTATTTCATGACCGTGGGTGATGCACCAGAGGCAACACGCATTCCTCCTCCCGAACCCCCTGCTCATTTCCAAGTCGATCGAGCCATTGATGATTCGGGGAACACAGCACTCCACTGGGCATGCGCGATGGGTGACTTGGGAATTGTGCAAGACCTTCTTCACAAAGGGGCTAACGTCAAGGCACTTTCGGAGCACGAAGAGACCCCACTCGTCCGAGCCGTTCTGTTTACCAATAATTATGAAAAGAGAACGTTTCCGACTCTCTTAGATATGCTTCTGGACACTGTCTCGTTCCGAGACTGGTTCGGTGCCACTATCTTCCATCACATCGCAGAAAATACTCGAAGCAAGGGAAAGTGGAAGAGCTCACGTTATTATTGCGAAATACTTCTCGATAAATTGTGCAAGACATGCTCGCAAGATGAGATCCAAATGTTGTTGTCATGTCAGGATCAGAATGGAGATACCGCTGTCTTGGTTGCTGCCCGCAACGGCGCGTTTCGCCTGGTGAACATCCTTCTCGTGCATTGCCACCGCGCTGGCGATCTGGTGAATAATAAAGGCGAAACCGCTAGCAGTATCGCACAGCGTTCTCAACATCATGACCATGACATCCCACCGGCCCCATCTTCCGTCACCATGGCTAATGAACATATGGATGCTGAAGCAGCTGGTCTTGTGGGCACAGATCCACAGTCCGTTGCTCCAATCCCGGATGCCCCTGCGACGTCTGAGCTCCTCTCCAAGATTGGGACAATCATGGCCGAGGCTAATAAAAAGCTTGCCGTGACCTATGGAAACTCAAAGATCAACCAGCAAGATTCAAATGATGTCGCCAATCCCGAAGCGTTACACGAGCAATTGGAATCCGACCGTCAGAAGATCCAGAAGCAGCTCTCTGCATTGGCAGCTAAGGAGGCCGAGCATGAGCGCAACGACGACCAAGCTGGTCGATATGAAAAATTGCGGGCAAGCTATGAGTCGCTTCTTGAGCAAATCCAATATGCTCGGTTGGCCGAACAGTTTGCTATTACGGAGGTACCTAAACCTACCCCGGCGTCCCTTGAGCAAGACGAATTAATGGCTCGGTATCGACTCGCTCAAGAGCTCTGCTCTGCGCAGAAGATACGTCGCAATGCTATTAAGGATTTAGCCCAACAAACAGCGGATGCGGGTGTGAGCACCAAGTTCGACATGCACCGCAAGCTAGTGGCCTTGGCGACCGGACTCAAAGAAGAAGATCTGGACCCCATGGCTGCGGAGTTGGCTGAAACATTGGAATTTGACCGAATGAACGGCAAGGGCACCACTCCCGAACTAGGTCATCGACAATTAACATCCCAGAATGAGTCGGCCGCTCTTCCTGGAACCGATGTCCCAGTGGATGCTTAAGTTTCCTCGAGATCGCACCCATGGACTCGATATTTGATTACATTTCACGACTCATTGATTTTCTTCCTCTGGCACACTATCTCAGCCAGCAGATACCCCACATCTTCATCTTTCTTTTCTTTTCTCCTTATCCATTGTTTCTTATCTTTTCTTCATCCTCTCATGGCTCATCAACAACTCACATCTAATTGTGATCATGGGTCTCATTCTTTATCTTACTGGTATTATGACCCACAAGCAGACAATGCAAGCACATACTGCCATACTCATTTTCATGTGCGTCTGTACAGACCATAGGAGTGTTTGCATATTGTACATACAACATGGGGAACAGCAGTTCCCTAACAGGCGAGATGCGAAATATGGAGCCAGGAGGGGGTGAGATGTACTTTACACATGTATGATTCGTTTAGGGTGGCAAAAGGCGTGGTTTATACCAGCGCCTGTGTGAAATTCGGTGAAATTCTACTGTTGGCAATCCTCATTCTTGAACCGTTGTAGATCGTAATCACGCTAGCCGACGATCTCACTGGGCAGTTTCCTGGTCTGTGCGATTCCACCTGGTCATAGCACGAGGGTCTTATCATCGTGTTCTATATATAATCCCTGAAAGTACGCAACAGTACGAGCCCATCACTATCGTCGCGCATTTTACACCGTACTAGAGCCAGCTCTTTCCCTGATTAAGAAATCCATGAATTGCCCATGAACAATGTCAACTCCATTGGAATCATGCCTCTACGCCTTGGTTCATAAGCCGATAGCGGGGTATGATCATCTTAATTGGTCGGGATCAAGTTCATTTAAGATCGATCGTCCACAGAATATCTGATATGGCAGTTGTCGTTAATCAGATTGGACCTGCATGCTCACCTAGGCGTCATCCATGAAGCCAATTTCAGGTTGCCAAAGCTGTCGTTAGCTTTGGGCATAGCAACAAGCACACGGCGTTTTCTCTGCTTGTTTCATAATTCAGGGGAAGGCTTGATCACGTGGTAGAGGCATCATACCAAGTTGTACCAGAAGGGAGCCGTTTCTAAAATAATAAGATCATATGAGAAAACATCATCGTTCTCCTACACTAACTAGATTCCGGTATTCATCGTCATCGCAGCATGTATGATTGACAGGGTATGATTGACAGGGCTGTAATAATGATCAGAATGAGATCCGATTGAATTATGAGCTAGAAGCCCAGGTAAACCCATTGGCTGGCGCTGGCAGCTTGGCATCAGCGACGAGCGGCTCTAGGGGCATTGTCAGGCGTTCATGACAGCCACGTCTGCGCCGCTAGTGGCCAACAGCCAATGATTTGGCTGGGGATGTGATGGGGGATCACTTCAGGTCTGGGTATGTTGATTATTGGCCAACAGGATGAGCCAGTCAGATCTCCCCAATGGGTCCTTCTTCTGTGATGCTGTCAGCTATGATCAGGCAGTCAGGCAGTAGAATAGGATATTACTTAGAGTATATATAATATAGATAAATCTGAAAAGGCTTGAATTAGCGTTTTGTCCAAATACGAGAAACAGAATAAAAGAAGATATCAAAGTGAGCCTTGATATCCCGTTGATATCCTCTCTCGTGCCTGGAGAAAAGACGCTAGTACCCTTTTGGTGTTCGGTTGGTGCCTTGTAAATCAGGCAGCAATCCCCGCCTAGGCCGTCCACCTTCATCAATCTCTCTTCTTCTTCTCTCACATCCAACCCTCCATCTAATCTTCGATTCTTTCTTTTCCTTTCCCCCTCTGCATTCCTTCTTTCTCTGCAGCTCTTCTCGTTTCCTGGAAAAAAACACCCAAAAAAGCATTTATCCACTTTGCAAATAGTCCCGATTAGTTCCGCCCCCTGAGGAAAACGTTGTGTTTTGGCAGAGACCCAAATTCATAGCATTTTTCGATTGCCTCAGTTCATCTCTTCGGATCCCTGAACTTGCTTTCGCCTCGGTTATTCGCACAGCACTGGCTTGTTTGGTCGCGACCTTCAGTGTTTTAACCTCCAAGTCTTCGATCTTCGATCTTCGGCATCGCGTGAACTACTCTCTTTTTTTTTTATTCGGCTGGGATTTGCAGAGCATTTCCCCGGACATTTTATCCTTTCTTCGTGGTCTTGCTTCGCGCGTGGCTTTATCTTCTCAAAAATATCCTCTTAATTGTTTTTTCTTTTTTTTTCCTTTCGAGGTGTCTGTCAACAAATCACCTCCACCTCGGCTTCCTCGAGACCTCTTCCTCGGGTTCGCGACTTTCAGAACCTAGCAAGTTCCTGTACAGCTTGGTTCTTCTATCATCTGCCATCTTTATTGCCAGCCACTCGCTCGCTTTGCATATCGTCACCTGTGATTGGTACGTGTTGTTGCCTTCTGTCCCATCCGTTAGATCTTACTGACCAGTTTCTGGATACAGAAACGCCGACTCTCGCGTATACGCTTTCTTTTTCGGTCGTTGAATTCCGATCTCGCAGACTTATTCCAACGTATTGCATAGACACCATAATTCCTTAATCGCCGGGAAGTGAGTTCAGCTTTGTGGTTGACCCCAAACGCTCACGTCGAATCCGGACGCCAAAAGATACCACTTGTCTCGCTTGCATCCTATTGCACATACCTACAATCCACACCAAACGAATACGAGTATGGACGCTGGCGGTCTTGCTCAAATGTCTTACAATTCTTCCTTCAATAATGGCAATTCCCTGGGTGTGCCAGGCTCTGGCTTCGCCTCGCGCGGCAAAGGTTCTCACATCAAGCGCTTGAGCATGCCTCCCCAGGTTGCTACCATCGACGAGTCCCAAACATCGGCATCTGTTTCCACTCCGCGTACCAGTCGCTCTCATCTTTTGGCTGGACTGCGAACTGCTCCCAAGTCTGCCACAATCCCCTCTGAACATCAGCAGCGGAGTGGAATGGAGGGTGCGCGATTCACTGGGTATTCCAACCGAGGGGCCGAACGGGTCCCACAAACTGCGACCGGAACTGGATTCCCACAGCACAATTACACCACAAATCAAAACGCGAACTCGCAGCGCAATAACTCGCAGCACAACCGCATGATGTACACCATGCCGGAGCAGGTACTTGCACCTCCGACGCTTGAGATGGCCGGTGGAGATATTCCAGTCGATGAGAATATGTACGCGGAATTGATGTCAACCAACCTGTTCCTTGCTGCGCAGCAGCAACGCCTGCAACAGCAGTTGATCAGTGTCACTGCTGCAGCTCAGCAATTCCAAGGCCTCAACCTTGGAATGTCCCTTCCTCGGCAGCAACAGGCTCCTTCGCTCTCCATCCCTGGCATGGGATTGTATCAACAGCAGCTCCAACAAGGCGTTCAGCCCATTGTGCAGCCGGTCCCTGGTCAACCTGGAATGTTCTCCGTCTACAATCCCCTTACTGGCCAACAAAGCTACATCATGGATAACAACCCCCAGGAAGAACCCCAGCAACAATTCTATCAAGATACTCAGTCCCATATTGGCCAGCAAGTTCCACAGTTCCGTGCAGAGATCTCTCCTCCTGCGGACTCTACGCAATCTCCTATGCAATTCCCACAGCCAATTTCCCCCCGGTTGGCAGTCCCTCTCCGCCCCACGAATCGTCTGTGAATGTTCTCCGCCGAGGCCACCGCAAGAACCCTTCGTTCAACCCAACTATCAAGACAAACATTGATACTGTCAAGGCCAATGTGGGACCCGGCCCAAGGTCTGCGGCCCTGCCGCCGACACCGGCCACTGGAACATTTGGACCCGGTCAAAGTCGTGCTGGTGAGCATCCGATGCGTCAGCCCCGTGGCCCCCCTTCGCTTGAGGATCTCGTCGCCAAGCCCACCTCTAAACACGAAGGTAGCAAGAACTTTGCGACCCGTCAGCGACGTCGTGCTGTTCTCAATCTTGTTCGCGCAGGGATCGAGCGTCGTGGCGACACACGCAGTTTTGGATACCATAGCAGTGGAGGCACTAACACCCCTGCGAGTGAGAAAGAGTTTACCTTCTCGGATGGCGATGATGCCACCGTGCGCAGCGGCGGAAGCCTCTCCAGCAAGCCTAGTCTAGGCAGCCTGCGGGCAGTTGCTAACGGTGCCATTGGATCTGAGAGAAGGGAGAAGTCTGGCCGGGACCGCAAGTCCCCGGATAGTCCCTTCCACAGCGCCACTCCGACTAGCGAGGACGGTGGCTACTTTTACTCAAAGTTTGTCGATCCCCGCGGGGATTATGCTCACTCGCCTAGTGCCAGTGGCACCTCGTCGCCATCAGTGGCGGATGTTGTTGCTGGCCAGGGGCCGGCAGTCCAGGCACCAGAACGGCGCAAGACGCCGATGCTGGTGTTGTCCAGCGCTGAAAAACGCAAGACACCCTTCATCTAATGCCGAACACCACGTGACCATAACGTATGACCTTTTCTTTTATGTTTTTCTTTTTTTGCCAAATGGGTTGGCCTTTTGTCTTTCCTGGTTTATCGAGTCCTGATCAAAGGGGTCTCGACAGCAGCTGACCCTCTGCCATTCCTTTTCTCATCACCACTCTATTGCTGGCAACTCATGCCAAAGTTTATGCTTTTGTGACGAAAGACCTCGATTGGTCTGAAATGACTCTATTCTTATTTGTTTCCTTTTTTGCTTATCTTCATCTTTATCCACTACATTCTCTATCATTTTGCCACCTAGCTTCATTAGGCTGGGCAGACCGGCTCTATTTTCTCGGAAAAGACAGGATGAGTTTGAGATTGGAAGAGAGGCACCTGCGATGGCAAGTTGTCTTCTCTTCTCTTCTCCACTTGGCTTTTGGTGTACATCTGGTTATGTACAGACTGCTCACCTCGATGCATTCTTTGAGCTCAGATCACCTTGGTGAATATATAGCTTAGCAAGTGTCTGATCTTGTTTGAATTATCTATCAAGTTTTGGCTATGTTGGTGATATTCCATGAACGCATCTAGTATCGAAGTAGTTGTTTTTAGCCGAATAAATTCCAACGTATTATGCAGCTATGCTTCTCAGGTCCTAGGATAATCCTAATGTTGTCCTACAATCACTCATGTGGAACGCCAGGTTATTCGGTCTGTTGAAGAGTTCTAGCTAGGTACCACTCGAAAGTCACGCGTCTTCTGTGATTGATAAAGTAATGAAGGGATAAGATATGGATCAAAAGGCCATCCATCCATCAGAGGTCACTATGACTGGTCGTGAGTTCTATATCGAGATGTGAGGCGAGGTAGCGTGAATCTCGCTACACCACATCCAAAGTTCTGTGGTCTTCATGCACCATGTATCTCACGCTTAGTCTGGTGGTTACGGAGTTACAGAACGGGTTGTATGCTCATTATTATGGAGGCTGGCTCTCAGCCCGGACCCGCTATATAGCTATCTCGGTTCCTATTTACACTTTTTGTCCGGCAAAATCAGAAGTGGTTATACTATCCACTAGGACTCACATCCTAACTGCCGCTATTGGTAAAGTGATGGGTCGCCCCAAAACGAGTACAGTGAGAGAAATGGACAGTATGTGGGCACGCCATACAAAATGTACCTAATTTATCGCCAGCTAGCAACTATCGTTAACATGGAGCACACAAACACCTGGCTAGTATCACGGTTACAATGCAATAGGTCCATGCCCTATATTATTCAAACTTGTGATACAAGATACTAGGGCAAACACATGATGCCTCAGACAGGCACCGATAGATAACATCTTCCAAGGTTCAGATGTCGACATATTATAAATATTCTCATGATAGACAGTCTATGGATGGCAAAGATAGGCATTGTGAGGCAGGGTAAAATGTGCTATCAATCCTACAGCCTATCAATGGTGTCACGGGATGTTTCAGATAGGAGGTTATCCTCTACCACGGGATCTCTGTGCCATCAATCACGTTGAAGAATTTGCCCGAGGTCGTCTCCCGAGTCACATTACGCATTATCAATCTACACAAGTTAGTCTACAACCTTCATTCTTCTAGATAGGGAAGGGAATCATGTACCAGGCCTAGAACGGCATCGATACTCTGGCGCTGAGAGTTGGGGGCTTGGGGAAGGCCCATCGCGCGGGCGCTCTTGTTACCGCTCTCCGTTTGCACGAGGCTGTCAGATAGTCAGCTAATGTCTCCTATCCGAATAATGTCTCTGGTGGCTTACCCGGGGTGCACGGCAAAGGTGACGACGTCCTTGTTGGCGCTGTGGATGGCACTACGTGTCCAGAGTTAGCCGATTCTTTTCCCAGTCAGGGTACGCTAAAGCTGGCAGCATCTTACGTAGTGATCCAGTTCAACCCCGCCTTGGCGATCCCGTACGCCGGAGCGATGTGAGCCCTATAAACCTGAAGCCGGCCAATCGAACCGGCGGCACTAGTGACCGACACCCACTTGGGGGCCTGGGACTTCTCCAGCAAAGGCTTGACGGCCTGGTATAGGGTCAGGGGCCCGAGCGCATTCACGGTAAACACGTCAGTCACGATCTCGGGGCTCACTACGTCCAAGGGGATGCTGAACAAACGCACTAAAGTTATGAGTGCCGCCAATCCGCTTATTGTCTGGGATCTGCCCGCAAACAAGCGGACTAAGGTCCTGGCTCAAGCAATTTAGGAGCGCGAGCCCTACGTGGCGGGTAACGAGGCCTTTCGGCCTCCAATTTAATAGAGACCTAAGAATATCCGGCGGGGTCCGGCGAGGGTGGCGTTGGGAAAGAGGAGGTCGGGCTAGTGAGGGAGGTTAAAGAGAAAATTGTCGGGTTCAGAGATACTACGGCCTTATAGACCTATTATCACATCGTGAGTTGGAGTTCGTTTGAGCTGGCGCGGTTGATAGGGAAGACTTCGGTACTCATTATTAATGCGGCAGAGGATCGTATCTCGCCGGTCGAGCGGCAAAAGGGTGTGTATCTGAAAGCACTGCAGCGAGAGGGTGGCAAGGGTGGAGCGAGGGAAATACTTGTCGTCGACGAGGGGAGAGGGCACCTGGTAGCGAAAGTCTGAGGGCGGCGATAAAGAAGCAGGTTGAGTTTGTACGGAAGGTAATTTTGGATTCAAAGGTGTCTAACAACTATTCCACCCGATTCATAATCCTCCTCGCTTAAGCTCATGAGTAGTGAGAGTGATTGATGTCTGAGACTCGAATAAGGGTGTCTGTCATCAGTGCGGCACTAATGCTGTAAGATAGAGTGATCTGTACGAACATGAGCTATATAGCTAGCTACAAGGGAAACGTCTCGGGGCAGTTTACCACCCTAGAGACATCTCTTGATTGCGTGTCAATAATTTCTATAGCTTAATATTCCTCAATACAATGGACTGGGAAATGATCTCTTGATCTGTAGAGTGAAGCCCAGTATATACATACGTAGTATCCCACATGATTGTAAACAGCGCCGTCGTAGGCAATACTCAGTATTAATCTACTTGGCTGGTTGCCTTGCCGACATCAAACAAAGTTTTATATTCTGTAGTGTCGAACTTGGAGTCTATGAACTACTGTGCATGTCTATAGTTTTGCTTTGAAGTACATGAGAACTCGTGGGCTGCGTTATATATCAAGAACCATGGTACGGGCACGGCCTTAAAATATCTTGGCACAAACCCTAAGTTGACATGCGGAAAGTCTAGTGTTACAATAGGTAATTGTAGGAAGACAAAATATTAACTCCCAGGCCACGCAAGTGTCCTGTAATTGAACCAGCTTTATCTGTATCTACCCGAGGATAGAGCAGCCGGACCTCCGTGGCACATGCGTCCCACATACGTTGGTAGACAATATAGTATTTATGTCAGCTGCAGTCCAAGCTTAAGTATTGGTCCCTGCGTCCTTGCAGGTTACGCCATTATCTTCGGTACGGCTGGCCGGGGAAGAGGGCCGTGTGACTGAGAGGGAGGAGAGGGTGGCACATGTGGTTGTGCGGTCGCATTGTTGCATGAAACGATGAGATAGAGGTAAGCAAGACATATTTAGTCAAGCCTTTTCAGGTTTGATAGTGTAAGATGTCGCTTTAGTCGGGGAAGGGAAACAAATGGGCGATCATACCGAGTATAATTTACCTTTTGTAACGAGCACCTCGGAAGAGCTCACCCTGGTCCCATCTGATATCCCCTCAAAGGTTTTAGGAGTCACCTTGTACGGTACTCAATTGGAAGTACTGTTCAATTGCCACACCCGAAAAAACAAGTTGGGCCCTGGTTGTCTCCCCCTGACTGATAACCATGACTATCACGGATCCAGAACTAGTCAGCAGCCACATCTGTGAGCTTAAATCGCCCAAGCTCCCCTGACGTAGGTTTTTGGGCAGCATATTTTGGGTAATTGTCATTACCTAGATAAGCATCTCACGTCTTTAGGTGGCACAATGACGTGTGAGGAGCTCATGGTTGGGATATTGGTTGATCATGAAGGGGGGAGGTTTCAAGCCCACTCAAGAGTGCATGTGTGCTTGTTGAACTCCCTCATGGGTAGTATAAGCGGTCCTAGCACCGGAAAAGGGAAAGAGAGCAAACATTTTGCTCGGATATTAGTGCAAGCTTTTTATCTGTGGTACCTTGTACATTGTCGGGACAGATCAGAAACCTTCAATATCCCCTCTGAGGATGAACACCGAGTCGGGTCTCGGAAGTCTTCCGGATGTCGACGCGCGGTATGAATACTCATCAGTTTCTCGGTGGAGATCGGAGAACCCGGTCGGAAGGGAGATGGACATCAATATCAATGAGATTCTTCCCAATGGTGTGATAGCTATCTTCAAACCCCGAGTACTGGTATTGAATTATAGTATGCAGGTGGATAACAGGACAGATTGGAAATCTCTATGTAGTTCCTGACTGGTCGAATCAATTAGGAACCAGTGGAAAGCAGGTATCTCGCAGGTATCTTGCATGACGGAAATGTTTCGCCTGTCGGGTGATTTCCCATGATATCAAAGATATACAAGGGATGGTTTGGACTAGTTTGTAATCGCATTTTTATACGTCAAGACGAAAATAGAAAGAGAAGGGGGTAGAGATAACCTTGGAAGACCAGATATGTTACTTAGTCAATATGAGAAAGGTAAATTCAACGCTAAAAAAAAAGAGTTGCTCCACTGATCTTCCTCAAATCTCTGATCCCGAAGATCACTCTTCACTGTTCTGATACTATGTACCCCACCCACACACACACCCCCTTTAACCTGACGCGGCCATCAGATTCTTCTTTGACTCTGCCGATTTGTGGGACCTCACGGGTTTGTGAAACCCCTAGTCTTTTTGACGATGAGCTCGGTCCCCCCTGTCTCTCTCCCCTTTTGGGGATCTTCCGCTCGGCCAACGGTCGAGATTCGGTGAGGTTCGACGATATACGATCCAGAACTTCGGCTGTGTCGACAATCCATTCCCTTTCAGGCTAGAGAACCGGGTCTCGCTCAACTAATGCGCCAATCTCCCGCAATACCCGCCAAAGGGGAATGTACCGTATCTATATTGACCCATCGTGGCAAAATGGCAAAACTCATGAGAGAACCTGGCATGGGGATGACGCCTCTACGGCTACACGGGGAAATCATGGCCCAAAAGAAATCCCCCTCCAATGCAGTCTCATTGGGCCTCTAACTCTTCTTGATATGGCCCATGTGCTGCTCAGCAAACCGGAAAGGACCTTTTTTTTCCTTCCTCTCTTTTTATTTTAGACCTGTCTTTAACCGAGAAGATCCTCGTAAATAGAGGGAACTCCTGCGTCCCAGACTTGATGTTCACTATCTCTTTTATATTGATTTGCCTTGCCTGATTTCTTTTCTCCTTGCCCCTTCCTCCGAGGTTGCATATGTTCTTATTTTCCGATACAATATCCTATGTCTAATTATGTACACATGACATAGTTGTCATTCCTGCTGGGACTTCCTCCGATCTCAAACCCCCCTTTCTCGAGAAGCTCTAGACCTGGTGAGCAGGTTCGTGTCAGTTTCTTTTTGGTTGGAGACAGCTTTCTCTTCTTTTTTTTCTCCCCCTTTTTATATTTCAACTTTGAGGGGGGCGAGCTCATCATCTGTTGGGTTGTTAAAGCACACTAAATCCCGGAAATAAGAGCTCTCTCATGTTATCTCACATAGCTGACTGTTGCTGGGTTACAGTTGACCACCTGGGCACATGAACCGCACTACCCGTGCTTTGATCTAAGAGCTCGGTCACCCAAGGGGTCTGTGAGCTCTACTGAGTAACCAAGAACTAGATGTCAATTTGAGAGAAAAAATTACACCAAAATGGCGGGAGGTTATTTTGACCTTCCGATATCCCGCAGCACCTCTGATGAAGGATCGTCAAGTCTATCAAGGTCGCGTTCCTTTACATCATCACTGCCCAGTGATAGCTTTCAAGGCCAGCCAGTATCTCAGGTGCGGAGCTTCAGTAACGCTAGCGCACAGGACAAGTATCGGAATGCAGGCACCCTGAAAGGCGCAAATCGCGTCAAGCTTACGGCCAGCGAATCCGAGTCGAGAGAACAGCCTGCTGGGACCATGGTCGAATTCCGACTGGATCAAAGGGGTACCGAGCTGCCGCAAAGACCATTACCCACTGCCAACATTCCAGGTTTCCAGGAAAAAGTCCCCTCAAGCCCGCAACTGGCACCACAGGTGGAAGATGATCACACTAGCGCGTCAGTAGATGTTTCTGGTTTGACGATCAGCACCAGGACTAGCCCCCCAGGGACGTCAGGAGAATATGAACTTGGTCAGGGTACGCAGGACAAGGGGCGTGCCATCTATTTCGCACATGAAAGGGCCCACAGGTTCACATCCCTTCTCAATTGCCCCCAGAATTCTCCGAAGCAAAGCCCTCGGTGCAGCCTAGTGTCTTCGATTGGCTCCAACCCGGCTGAAGTGGCGTACCAGACTGAAGATGGAGATAAATTTCCTGTGATAAGCTTCCCCGAGAAACAACAACTTTTCGACAACTTAATAGATGAACATGAAGCGGACATTTTAGACGGGCGATCAACACCGCACACATCCGAAGCCCAATATCTAGTGCATCAAATGTCACCTCGAGACCTCAGCTTTCTGACTCGCCTTCGCCCTCGGTCTCCCGGTTTGCACTCCAGTGACCAAGACTCCGCCAGCGACGACAGGAACTCATACGAGTCTGCTGAACGGACAACAAATTACCGTGGAGGCATTCTTTCATCGCTGCTCAAGCTTTACGACCAGCCTCCTTATAATCACAACGAAGGCCGAGGACGTTATGGGCGCTCTCGACAGGGGAGCTCTTCCGAGCTCAGTGGACGCGAAGTGTCCCCGGACTCTGTCTGCAAACCGCAAAGGAAGTGGTACGATAAATCTACCGCTCGTTCCAGCATTTCCATGGCCGGCTCGTCCCGCCGCTCTGGTTCTCCCTTTGCCATGCTCACGCGGTCCCGCAGCAGTGGTGCTGCCATCCCGAGCCTAGGCCGCTCACGTCCCAAGCCTCAGCTCGAGGATGAAATTCATATCACTGTTCATATTGCAGAGCTTCTGTCTCGACAACGGTACTTGATTCGGCTTTGTCGCGCTTTGATGAAGTATGGAGCTCCAACTCATCGGTTGGAGGAATACATGCGCATGACAGCTCGTATCATCCAGATCGATGGTCAGTTTTTATATATACCCGGCTGCATGATCATCTCCTTTGACGATACCTCCACACATACAACAGAGGTCAAGGTCGTCCGGTCCAGTCAAGGCATCGATCTGGGTAAGCTGGCCGATGTGCATGAGATTTATAAGGAGGTGATTCACGATGTCATTGGAGTTGAAGAGGCAATACAGCGGCTCGACGAGGTTATGAAAAAGCAGAGCAAATTCCACATTATGTTCCTGATCTTCGCCCACGGCTG